AGCTGGTAGATCAGAGAAGGAAACGGCAGATGCTCACGCTCGGTGCGGGAATTGGCTAAGGCACCAATCTGAGTGAAAATTAATTCACCAATATTGATCTTGAGGTCGTGAGTGATGCACCATAAAAACTCAGCTTGGGTGGGATTGAGAGTAGCATTGTGAGTAGTGGGAAACCAGTTGGAAATGCCTATTTTAAAGAGGACTGAGTACAGCTGAGTCAGCTTAGACACATGAAAAACCGACTTTGGACCAGGCCATTTTTTCAGAACTTTGGCAGTGAGGACAGAGGCCAGAGTGTCTTTGGAAACAGAGGGTTTGGAAGAAACCTCGTTTGGACATTTATAAAACTCATTAATCAAGGCAGGTGTCACAGAATAGAAAGACCCCCTCACATACACTTTCCCATACCCACGAGACCCCACAACAGAAAAGCGATCAGAAAGATTGGCATAGAACTCAACAATAACAGATCGTTCAAAAGGTTGTGCACTCACAATAGTGCCAAGCAACCCTTGAGTTTTTAGAAAACGGAAAATCCCAGACAAAGGTAAGACAGACCTAGACAAAACACGCTCAAGAGAGCAGGCACGCTTACTCATACTATCCCAATTTTCTTTAGCAAGAGCGGAATAGAAGAGAGGAGAGAAACAGTTACCAGCAGAGAGTTGAGAGCCCACAGATGAATCAGAGGATTCAGAACGCAAAGGGTCATCCTCAGGAATAGGCTCAGAAGAAGAGGATTGTTGACCTTCAGACACGGAGGCAGGAGAGGAGGCAGATGGGCCTTCGTGTTTTCGATTGGAGCGGCGGAGTTGAACAGGAAACTCAACACTGCGGGGGGCAACCTCAGGATCTGAGGGCAGATCATCTTGTGGAGTTCCAGAGAGGCTATCATCGTCAAGAACAGCCACGCCGGTGTCGACAGGGTCAGGCACATCACTTGTCTTGAGACTTGGTGATGGTGAAGCCACAGGAGAAGGGACGGGGTCCAGATCTGTGGTGACGGGAACAGGAGAGATTTCCACAACAGTAGGGCGGACTTTCTTTGAAGATTTTCTGGACTTCTTCTCAGCAGGCGAGGCAGATGGAGTGTGGCGTCGTTTCTTGGAGCCCTCAGCAGATCGATTCTTGCCCATGGTGAATAGTGAATACAGAGAAAAACAAGAAAATAGAAAAGGAACGGCGGAAGAAAAGAAGAGAAAGAATAAAGTGTGAGAAGCAAACCCTAAAAGAGGCGGATATTTAAAGCACAGGGACCGAGAAAATAGGCAGAAAAAGAGAGGACTCTTCGGATACTGGATATTTTCAAATCAGAATAAGATCCCACAAAATCCGCCACCAATAACAAGCAAGATATTCTCCACACGAAACATCAAACAATAAAGAAGGCAGATGACATGGCTATAGCCACGTGGCCAGAGACAACTAGAGCCAAAAATTCACAAAGCCCAAAGATAAAAAAAAATTTAAAAGAAAGAAAAAAAACTTTTTAAGGAAAAGAAAATCAAGAAGATCACAAGATTAAAAGTTGAGGGCTTGGTTTTCATGAATTAATTAGATAATCTTAAAGAGAATCACAATAGAAGGCCACCTAGCAAACTCTTGGATGCACGATATAACTATAACCCCATGACCATACTCAAGAAACCATAATTTAGGTAAATTTTAAGAGTTATGAATGCATATGCGATTAGCACAGCAATTCGATCGTGGACTTCAAGGAGAATTTCCTAATATATGCTTGAATATCATCCCAACCCCTCCTTTTTTTTTTTTTTTTTTTTTTTTTTTTTTGAGTTCGAACTAATTTTTCTTCTCCTCCCTTTTTTTGTTGATATGATGTTCAAGCAAACATTAGGAGGGAAACTTCCTTAAGAATCCACATAGCTTTTAAATAGAAGTCAGAGATGCATATGCGGTAGCATAATTCTCCCAATAGAGGTATGATCTTTGAGATGAATGAGGTCATAGTCATTGATCACTCCCGATAGAGGGGGCAGCACACTTCTATCATGGTTATCTGTGGAAACAAAAATTAATTCACAAAAACTAACACACAAACAATTAGTCAAAATGAACCTCCAACCATTCCTAGTCCAAAAACAGTGATGTCACATTTGTAGGTGACACATATAATGTCCGATTAAAAAATTCAAGTGCAATCCGGACACAAACTTTAATTGCACTTATCATAGAAAATTCAGTTTTGCACATGGCAAATCCCAAGCGCTTTACGCAAGGAATCAAACCTAAGGAAATCGAGGGGCTTTGTAAAAATATCAGCTAATTGATTGTCTGTGGACACATAATCTATAGTCACACGTTTCTGCTCAACTAATTGCCTGATGAAATGGTGTCGAAGATCTATGTGTTTGGTTCTAGAATGCTGGACAGGATTTTTTGAGATATTTATGGCACTTTCATTATCGCAGAATATATGAAGGAGTTTTTCATGAAAGCCATAGTCATTCAACATATGTTGCATCCAAAGAAGTTGAGTGCAACAACTACCTGCAGCTATGTACTCAGATTCAGCTGTTGATAAAGAGATGCAGTTTTGTTTCTTACTGTACCAAGATACTAGGTTGTTTCCCATGTAGAAACAGCCTCCAGTAGTACTTTTTCTGTCATCCACATCTCCTGCCCAGTCAGCATCACTGTATCCTGCAAGACAAGTATTAGTATCTTTGGAGTACCATATCCCTAGTTCAAGAGTTCCACTCACGTATCGTATGATGCGTTTGACTGCACTTAAGTGACTTTCTTTAGGATTTGATTGGTACCTAGCACATACTCCTACACTGAAACAGATGTCAGGTCTACTGGCAGTAAGATAAAGTAAACTTCCAATCATACTCCTGTATAATGTGGGATCCACGTCTGTGCCCTCACAGTCGCGTCCCAACTTTTCCGTAGGACTCATCGGAGTTTTTAGAGGTTTTGCATTATCTAACCCAAATTTACTTACCAGATTCTTGGCATACTTGCTTTGTGTGATGAAAATTCCATCCTTCATTTGCTTTACTTGCAAGCCAAGAAAGTAAGTTAGCTCTCCAACCATACTCATTTCAAATTCGTTTGACATTTGAGAGATAAACTCATCTTTCTTGTGGTCAGAAGTAGACCCAAAAACAATATCGTCCACATAGATTTGAGCCAAAAGGATTTCGTTTTTAAAATTTTTGACATATAGTGTTTTATCTACCCCACCTCTTCTATATCCTTTTTCAACTAGAAAGGTCGTAAGTCGCTCATACCAAGCCCTAGGGGCTTGTTTGAGACCGTATAGGGCCTTTTTAAGTTTATAGACATGTTGAGGTTTGAGAGGATCTTGAAAACCTTTTGGTTGTTCGACATACACTTCTTCATTTAAGAGACCATTTAAATACGCACTTTTTACATCCATTTGGAAGAGTTTAAACTTTAAAGCACAAGCAACTGAGAGTAAAAGACGTATTGACTCAAGACGAGCTACCGGAGCGAATGTTTCGTCAAAATCTACTCCTTCAATTTGGGTGTACCCTTGAGCAACAAGACGAGCTTTGTTGCGAGTTATATTACCAAGTTCGTCCGTTTTGTTTTTGAACACCCATTTTGTACCTATAACGTTTACCTGGTCGGGTCGTGGAACAAGTTCCCACACTTCATGTCGAGTGAACTGCTCAAGTTCCTCTTGCATAGCTTGTACCCAATACTCATCAAGAATTGCTTCTTTGATGTTTTTTGGTTCTATAGTAGAAGTATAGCAAACATACCTGACCATTTCTTGGTAATCAACTTTGGGCTTATTTCGAGTTTTCATACCTTCATCAAATTCTCCTATCACCTGTTCAGAAGGATGATTTTTTACAACTCGTTTTGATGGTCTTTTTCTTTCTTCTGTGCTTTCCTTCGCTGCTGGCACTCCTTCTGTGCTTTCCTTCACTGCCGTCACTTCCTCTGTGCTGACGCCTGGCGTTTGTACTGGTACAATGGTTTTTCCAGGATTAGCGTCTTCCTCATCCATTTCTGCAGATAAAACTTCGTTAAATGTTACATTAATGGATTCCATAACAGTCATTGTACGTTCATTATAAACGCGATATGCCCTGCTGTTTAAAGAGTAACCAAGAAAGGTACCTTTGTCTCCTCTTGCAGAGAACTTACCGAGTTGTTCTCTATCGTTCAGGATGTAACATTCACACCCAAAGACATGAAAGTAACTTAAGTTAGGCTTCTTACCTTTCCATACTTCATATGGAGTTTTCTTGGTACCTGGTCTGAGGTGTACACGGTTTATGGTGTAGCAGGCAGTGCTCATAGCTTCAGCCCAGAACTTTGTGGCCACTCTTGCTGAGATGAGCATTACGCGAGTCATTTCTTGGAGAGTTCTGTTCTTTCTTTCTACCACACCATTCTGCTGTGGTGTCTTTGGTGCTGAGAATTCGTGGGAGATACCGTGTTTATCACAAAATTTTGTGAATGAAGAATTTTCAAACTCTCTCCCATGATCGCTTCGAATTCTTCCAATATTGCTGAATTTTTCAATTCGCAATTTCTTGCACAGAGTTTTGAACTCATAAAAGGTATCTGACTTTTCCCTAATGAAGCGTACCCAAGTGAACCTTGAGAAATCATCAACACAAACTAGAACATACCTTTTTCCACCAATGCTCTCGGTTTGCATTGGTCCCATTAGATCCATGTGAATGAGTTCCAAGGTCCTGCTAGTCCCTGCATGATCTGTGTTCTTGTGAGATGTCCGTACTTGTTTTCCCAGAGGACAGTCACCACATGACTCAGGTGTGTCAGTCTTCAGTTGGGGTATCCCTTTCACGCAACCTGTATTAACAAGACGGATTAGATCATGAAAATTTAAATGACCTAGTTTCCGATGCCAGAGATCAGTGAGATCAGAAGAAGTGTGATGACATTGATCCGATTTGTCAATCTGATCAATTTTGTAGCAATTGTCTGATGACCTGTATCCAGTTAGAACACAATTTTTGCTTTCATCAAATACTTCACACTTACGCTTTGTGAACAATACAGAGTCGTATAGATCACACAACTGACTTACACTCAGAAGATTTGATTTCAAACCTTCCACATACAGAACATTGTTCAAGTTTGGCAACCCTCCAACATTTAAGTCTCCTTTTCCCTTTACATAAGCCTTATTTCCATCTCCAAAAGTAACCTGTCCACTAGACATGTTATGCAGATTTGATAAGAAATTCATTTCACCTGTCATGTGTTTGGAGCATCCACTGTCAAAATACCAAGAGTTAGTAGCACATGCATTTAAAGATAAAATAGCTGACCAGCAGTTAGTACTATCATTTGTCATCCTTTGTTTATGAGAGTAAGTAACCCACGCAGCGGATTTGGATGTCTGATATGCTAACTGTTTATTTATCAATTTCCATCTTTTAAAGCATTTAGGCCTGACATGCCCTATTTTGTGACAGAAGTGACAGATAGGAATAAACTTAGTAGGATAGGTTTGGTTGTTCACACAAGAAGATGTGGAATTGACAAATCTGATTTTTTAGTTTGACCCAGTGTTAGCATTAGATTGTCCATCAGTATACCCTAACCCAATTCTCTTGGAATTGGAAGGATGAGCATTTATGGTTTCATCTAATCTATTTGAGGGAAGAAATGCAGTCCGATTTAACTTACTGACAGAGGCATCAAACACTGTGCTAACAGGCGGTGAAACATCTTGGTGATCATTAGCATGTACGTTTGGAAAAAGATTTTTCCTCACCCTTTTTGCTCTTTCACCATCATAGTCCTGCCAATATTTCAACAAATCTTTGAGATTGTCGATGTCTCTTTGTGCAAAGTCTTGTTCCACTTCAAAGACTTCAATCTCCATCTCAAGTTCATCAATCCTGTCATTCAGTTTTGTGATAACTCCTTTGTTTTCTTCCTCTTGTTCTTTGATTCTTTCTTTCAGGAGTTTATTTTCATTACTAACTTCATGACATTGCTTCAGGAGATCATCCAATTGTTTTTGAAATTGTTGGATGGACTCTTCACCTTCACCTTCTGATTCGTCACTCCCTGTAGCCAGAAAAGACATATTTAGATTTTCGTAATTTTCATTTTCCTGTGTGACATACCTGAGATGTGGCGGTTCTGTGCACGT